CTTTGAAACACTGCTTTGGTGTACAGTTCTTTGAAGTTGGAAATGACCTGCTGGTCCATGGGCTGGATGAGAGGAGTGGTGTTAGGAGGCAAGAACTTCACCGTGATGAAACGGATTTTCACAGACAATAGGCCTACCAAGTTTGGAGGATGAGCAGGAGCACTGTCCAGTACCACGAGGTACTTGAGTGGCAATTTATGTTCCAGGAGGTATTTTTTCAAACTTGGGCCAAACACATCATTCGCCCACTCTGAAAATTTACACTGTGACCCATGCATTATTGTTAGCCCTCCACATCACACAAAATTTACTCTTGAAAACATTGCTTCTTGAACACACTGGGATTTTCAGAGAGATACACAAGTAAAGGTTTCACTTTGAAATCCCCAGTAGCATTAGCACAGAACAAGAGAGTAGGCCTATCTTTCATAAGCTTGTGTCCAGGCAGAGCCTTTTCCTCCTGCATAATGTAGGTCCTCTTTGGCATTTTCTTCCAAAACAGGCCTGTTTTGTCACAAATGAACACTTGTTGGGAGAGGAATCCTTTAGCCTCTACATACCCCTTGAAATCTTGCACAAATTTTTCAGCCACACATTTATCAGAACTTGCAGCCTCTCCATGCTTTACCACACTGTGCATGCCACAACACTTCTTAAATCTCTCAAACCAGCCTTTGCTGGCCCTAAATTCACTAACAGCAGCACTTGTTCCAGGCACTTTATTTACAAGATCTGCATACAACGGCTTTGCCTTCTCACAAACCACTGACTCCACAACATTATCTCCCGCTAATTGTTTTTCCCTGATCCACAACAACAATAACTTTTCCATATCTTCCATTATTGGTGACCTTTGTTTCATTATCACACTTACTCCTTCGCAACCTCAGCTTCCTTGATCTGTTCTTTCTTTGCCTGGATGGAAATGATGGTAGATTTGTTTTTCCCATACATCCTGGCAAGTTCCAACACTTGCATACCACTCTCAAATTTTCAAATAAATTCCATCGTGTTTCTCACTTTCTTTACCACCAGAACTTGACTAGGAACTTTCTTTGGGGCTATGCTTACTTATTTCGCAGTTACACTTAATAAATAAAAAAACACAAATTTATAGCAAAATGTTTGGATGAATGAGAAGAAGCTTCCCCACTCGGCCAGCGATACAGCTATATTGACTCAGGAATGTGCGAGTGTTGCAGGCCGATAAGCGCCCAATACGGCCAATAAGTGAAATAGCGGCCGATAACGGGATGCCAAAAAAACGGCCGATAAACGAGTTGGCCAATAAACGGAACAGCCAATAACCGAGGGTTCACTGTAACTCATAATTTAAATTATTACATTCACTGAGTGTTAAATCAGTAGGGGCCATACAGTGCCTGGGGAAATAGAAGGCATTTAAGCTCAAGTCAAGGAGCTGGAGTAAGTTTTTATTCAGGTACAGGTACAGTGGGCTCTCGGTTATTGGCTGTTCCAGTTATCGGTCAACTCGGTTATAGGCCGGTCTTTCAGCTGCCAGTTTTTCGGCTACCGGTTATCGGCCGTTATTTCACTTATCAGCCGTATGGGACATGTCCATCCACCGGCCGATCTGCACATCAGTTCGGCTGTGTCTCTGGGTGCGTGAGGAGGCTTCTGCTCATTCATCCAAACATTTCGCTATACATTCACTGTTTTTGGTGTTTTTTTCTAAGTGCAACTGCGAAATAAGTAATCATGGCCCCAAAGAAAGTTCCTAGTAACGTTCCTTTGGTGAAGAAAGTGAGAAACACGATGGAATTTAAGAAAGAAATTGTAGCAAAATACAAGAGTGGTGGTGGTAGAGGGTGGTAGCAATAGTGGTAGAGGGTGGTAGTGGTTGTGGTGGTGGTAGAGGGTGGTAGTGATGGTGGTAGAGGGTGGTAGTGATGGTGGTAGAGGGTAAGACCTTCATCTGAAACAGCAACAGACCACAGCTGAGGAAATGGCTTCAGAGGAGGAGGAGGAGGAAGAGAGGGGAGAATGTGCCTTCTTCAGTGATTAAGGACATGTGTGCAAAGTGGAGTGAGTTGCAGCGGCACAGTGACTCTCGAGCCTCTCTCCTCCTCATCTTCCATAAGCCAAGAAAAGTCTTCAATAAAGGTATGTAATGCTGATTTAATTGTTCATGTATTTATTTTATTTAGTTCTCATTATTTTGTGTATGTAAAACTATAATTAATTTAAAAAAAAAAAAATTTGTGAATATTTTTGGGTGTCTGGAACATACAGTGGACCCCCACTTAACGATCACCTCCAAATGCGACCAATTATGTAAGTGTATTTATGTAAGTGCGTTTGTATGTGTATGTTTGGGGGTCTGAAATGGACTTATCTACTTCACAATATTCCTTATGGGAAAAAATTCGGTCAGTACTGGCACCTGAACATACTACTGGAATGAAAAAAGTTCGTTAACCGGGGGTCCACTGTATTAATTGAATTTACATTAATTCTTACGGGAAATATTATTTTGATTTTCAGCCGAGCCTCTGGAACAGACTACGGCGAATAACTGAGGGTCCACCGTACACAAAATACAGTTACATAAATTATCATACATAGCAGCATATGTGTAGATTACCCAGGATAACCCCAAAAAATATTTATTTCCTTAGAAAAGAGCCCCTTCACCAACATCTTGCCCCTCCCCCACAATTTTTTTTTTTTTTTTTTTGGATTTTTAATGTTGGGTTTGGTTAAGTTCATGTAGGCTATGTTAGATTACGTTGGTGAATATCGAGTTGAGTTAGGTTAGGTTAGGTTGGGTTGGGTTGGGTTTAGTTTGGTAGATTACTTTGGGGTGGGTATGTAGATTATATGTTGACTATTCAATTAGGCATCCCAACCTAACCTAACCCAATGTAAGCTAATTTAACATGCTCAATGTAACCTAAGCTACCATACTTAGCATAAGCTGACCAAACCTAACAAACTTTTTGAACAACTTACACAAAATAAAACAGTCTATTGTTTGCATACTAAACACACTATTAGGTAAAAGGAGACAAGTGCAACTAATGTGACATTTTATTATGGCAACGTTTCGCTCTCCAGGAGCTCTGTCAAGCCGTTACAAACAATACAGGGTCACAGACGGGATATATACAAGTACAGAGTGAGGTGTCCCTTTACCTAACATATTGTTGGTAACTGTACACTTTAAACCATCAACTATGACTTAACTACAATGAGCTGCTAAACTCAATACTGACTTTATTATTACTATATTTAGGGGGTTGTGCTAAACCCATAGGGCTTATACTGTGCCTGGGAAATGGAAGGCAATCAAATCTTATCCAAAAAAGTGGAGAACAATTTCAATTCATTGGATCAAGAGCCCCTCACCAGTAACAAGAACCCTCCAAGCCCACAATAAGGATAATAGACTTAGATTTACATTAAGTACTGCATAAGTAACTTAGGAAAAAAAGTTAATTTCTGACTGGATTTTTAACCCAGAGGTTTAGCTACCCAGGATAACCTAAGAAAATCAGTGTGTCATCGAGGACTGTGTCTTATTTCCACTGGGGGGGGGGTCCTAATATTTTGTCCCCCAGGATGCAACCCACACCACCCAACTAACACTCAGGTACTGACTTAACTGCTAGGTGAACAGGGATAGCAAGTGTAAGGAAACATGATTATTTCCACCCATGCTGGGAATGAACCATATTATGGGTAAGGCTTCATTTAGATTATGAAGCACAGTACTGGTCTCCGTGTTACAGAATGGATATAAATGTATTAGAATACACATAGAAGTGGATAAAAAAACTAATTTCTTGGATTAATATTGTGCTTAGAGGGGCTCGAGTTCTTTTATTGCATAAATTCTCCAATATAAAGCGGATTATGCAACAGAGTTATTTTTCGTAACCTGCAAATTTATGTAACCTTTGATATATATCTTTGAAGAATTTCGAGAGTATATCTACTCTCTGAGCCCGGCCATGGGCCAGGCTTGGCTGGTGCTCGCCTGGTCAACCAGGCTGTTGCCTAACCTAAGCTACAGTCTACCTCTAAATCTATGATAGTTTAGCTGCAGTTCCTTTTTTTTTTTTTTTTTTTGTTGACTAATGTATTGTCCATCCCATATGCATAAAAATAAAAGTGTTTTCATTACACAATCTCTATATCTGAGAATTTCCAACTATTAATGACATACAACACCTAACAGTAGTTGAGCAAGATGCATATAACAGTTTGGTACCTTTATTAATAAAACATTTCAAGGACTCCAATGGAAATAAGTCACTTTGTCTAACTTTTTTGGGGGTTATCCTAGGTAATTTACACATGTCACTATGTATGATAATTGTCCTTATATGTACCTGTACCTAAGTAAACTTACACTTGCTGAACCTTCTTCAATCAAAAAAGAACCGGCAATGGAAATGTCACTCTGATTTTTTGGGGCTATTCAAGGTAATTTACACTATTTATTACAATTGTACTTATGTGTATCTGTACCTAAATGAATTTACTATGAGTAATGAAGATACATTAAACTTGGTGATTAACACAGAAATATATCAGAAAGAAGAGTAATTATATATTATCAGGACAGAGTATAAGTCATCTCGGAGTGGCTGCTTCTGTACAGTGTGAAGTAAAAGAACATAGATGAAACTAGTGTGATATTTTAGTGGTAATGATCTGCAGGAGCTGAACCTTGTTGCAGTGAACTCTCACGCTACCTGCACATCTCTCCTTTTACCTAAAATTGTGATAATTGTACCATACAGTGCAGTAGACTGAAGCAAGTAGACTGGACAGAAGATGCCAACGTCTCGTCAATAAAGATACCAAACTGTTGTACATGTTTCTACTCGGAAAAATCCTTCCTATTAGAATATCCTGAACCTTCACTCTTCTGACAGATGTTCGTTCATCTCACAAATTCCAAAACATATGGCTAGCTTCAACAGCTGTGTAACTCACAGTGTTGTCTAGTTACAAGACAGATGTTAACCTACCTGACAGAAGCAACGTTCGCCAGCAGCTGTGTCACCTTTGGTGTCAGTGTGACCAACTTGGAACCACTGTGTCCTGGTTGTCTCCACCATCACCACCAGTATACACGTCCTCCACCACCACATTGTCGTCACAGCAACAGTCTGTGCTACGCCCCTCTACACTAGGGGGTAAACGCACTCTACGTGGGTTGTATTACCCTGACGGAACCCCCGTACACCGGTGGGTAATACCACTTTATTACCACCTGTCACTGTCTTCCAGCAAACACTAGTCAACAACTTCTTATTATATGCTTGGCGATAATAATGTAGGTAGTTAGTGTGATTATAAAGTAGTAAGGTGTTGTGTTAGTGGAGGAGAGGGTGACGCGTGCGGCTTCCACTATTATCTCACTCAGAATGTCACCGCCGCTGCCGCCGCTTGCGTCACCTGCACCACCGCCGCCGCTTGCGTCACCTGCACCACCGCCGCCGCTTGGGTCACCTGCACCACCACAACCACTTGCGTCACCTGCACCACCGCCGCACCTGCCACAATCAACACTAATATATAAATAAGAAAACCAAAATATTTCACTGAGGCTTAATTTCCTCCTGAAGATACACCCTCCTCGGATGATCAATCGGTGGTATTGGAAAGGTTACGTAGGGGAGTACATTTGAGTGACTGTATTAACGACGTACTACATACGACCTCCCGCCACCTCAGTTGCATCAGCAAACATGATTCATAACCCGGGATTAAGGACTAGGGAAAAAAAAAAGCCGTATCATTATTAATCTTTCGGGTCTCCTCTCGGGAGTTAAATACAAGGGCCGCGACACACTTGATAAATGATAAATTATATTTATTTCAAAAAAAATAAATTTTTACATGTTTTTTCAGAAAAAGATGAAATTGCTGTCATACCTTAAATAAAGCCCCGATTATATGGAGCTTTAGGCCCCTTTTTAAAAAATAATTTATAATTCTTACAATTTTATAACTACCACTGCAATTTTTGCAAGCAATTTTTAAAAAGTGTTGTAAAACAATTTGCTAAACGTTTGGGAATTTATTCCAGGTCGGCCCAAAAAAATATTACTGCACATGGCATACAATAAACTAAGGACCATCAGTGCAACCAACGCCCCTGGGGCCCCTGTCTTGACACCCTCCTGGGGGATCAAGCCTGTCAACCAGGTTTCGCTGGCTGCACGCAAACCAAGTACGGCCACACCCCCGGCTGACCCGGGAACTGATTTGGTGTTTGTCCAGTGCCTGCTTGAAGACACCGGGGTCTATTGATAACCCCCTTATTTGCGGGGAGCAGTTGAACAGTCTGGGGCCCCTGACATTTATGTATTTCCCCAAAACGTGCTAGTGACACCCCCTGCTTTTCATTGGGGTGTTGCATCGCTCCCAAATTTTTTGTTTTCTTTGTGGTGATTTTCGTGTGCAAGGGAATGTTTTTGGGGTTCCCCAAAATGAGGAAAATCTGTGGACTAAAATCAAAAGGGGTTTAAAAAGAGAAACATCAAAGCTCTTTCATAGAAAACCGGGAAGTTTCTACAACAGATGGGAACAAAAAAAGCGGGGCTGAATGGTACTGCCCTTGATACTGGCCATGTATCAGAAACTTAAGGCTGGAGAGAAGTCCGGTAGTCAGTAAATGTGGGGCTGATAGTGCTGTCCGGGGAACAGAATGGGAACTGGAGGCGGTCCTGGAGAAGTAATGGTGAAGTGGAGGCTGCCCTGGGGACAGTAATGGTAAAGCTGGGGGTGCTGCCTGGGAGACAGTAAGGGTAAGCGGGAGGTCTGTCCTGGGAGACAGCAAGGGTGAAGCTGGAGGTGTGTCCGGGAGACAGTAATGGTGAAGCTGGAGAGCGTCCTGGGAGAAAGTAATGGTGAAGCGGGGAGATTTTTGTCCAGGTAGTCCCTTCGGGGGGGGTTTTGGGCTGGTAAGGGGCTCTTGGTTGAGGAATTAGACCTGCGGTCTTTTTCCTCAGACCGAACCTAATTCCCCCCCAACTCCCCTCCCTACCCCATCCTCCCCTCCTCCCCTTTTTCCTTTCCTCCTCCTCCTCCCCACTCCTCCCTTTTTCCCCTTTCCTTTTTTTGGCCTTTTGGGGTTTTTCTCCCCAGGCACGCTATTTTCCTAATAGGGGAAAGGATCCCGGGGGGTCATCCCATTCCGTTGAGGTTTTTTTGGGGTGGCGTAGTTTTGCCGGGAATCTGGATCGCCTGGGGGTTTCCCCGACCCCCTCCCGGTATCCCGGAGTAGTTTTGGGGGTGTCTTTCGGGCGACGGGTGATCTCGGGAACCCACCTTTCGGTTTCCCGGGGGGGTGGTGGCCGAAGGAGGTATGCTTGTGGCGGATATCCGGCCCCCCTCCTTTTTCCACCGAGGTAGCTCGGCAGTGTGAGGTTCATCCCGGATTGTTAGTTTACTAGCATGAGGGGGGGTATGAGGGGGGTTCCATCTGCATCTGCGCTACTTGGGTCTGAGGTCCTTTTGGGGCCGGGAGGGAGATTTCTGGGCCCTTTACCCCTCCTAGGAAACTATCCCCCCCCGGCCCCCCCTTTTTTTTTATTCTTTTTTTTATTTTTATTTTATTTTCTTTTTTTTTTTTCTTAAAAACAAAAAAAAAGAAGTAACCAAACCCGGGCAGCCCTATCCATGAACCTATACCCCCGGGCCCCTTCTTGATACCGCACCCCGTTTGACCCCGCCTCGTCTTTGGACCATCTTCAGACACTCCCATGCCTTGACCTGTTGGGGGTGCGTTTCCCTCCCTGCTTCGGTACTGGGGCCTCGACTGACCCTTTGATTTATGGGCCCTTTGCTCCCCTCTGCATGCTTCCGGCCTCCCCTACGGTAAGGGGGAAATTTTCAAATCGCCGCCCGTTCCACGTCGGACCAACTCTGGTCCCACGCCAAAACGCCAAGACTTTACCTGTGATGATACCTCCACCTTCTCGTTTTTCAGAAACGTCGACACGTCCTCATACCTTTCCACGTCTTTTTTAGACGCTGGCTAAATTTTTCACTTTACGACCAACTCCTCTACTGCCTATCTTTTGCCCATGTATTGGCAAGGCACCTACGCCATGTTGGAAAAGATATTTCTTTTCATGCTTTTAAAGAGGGGGTACGCGCATCATACCGACAAATGCTACCAGGATCATGAGCCTCCGTCTTTCCCTATCGTACTGTTCCCGTCACTCTTGAAAACATAATTCCCTCAATTCTTGTAGTGGTCCCGCATTCTGCCCATCCAAATGTTCAACAAAATTTCCAACATGTGGCATGAATTCTAGAACAGGGGAACTCCAAGATCCCCAATCCTAAAGTAACACTAACGTTCTTCCTCCCCGGGGGCGAGACGATCCCCTAGCAATGTGGCTCTTTTTAATTTTTGACGCCGAGAACTCCCACCCTCAGTTTTTAAGCAGGACATGGGTTACAAGTTCGAAAGGTGATCCCTACACCACAAAAGTGAGAAACTGCTGGCGATTTGGCCTCCACAAAATATGCAGATCTATCGCCGAATGCCCAGTCTGTGGTCCCGAGCCTTTCTAATAGTCTTGCAATCGATCCCCCTCTTGCCTTAACTGTCATGAGGCTCCCCCTTCGTACTCTCGCCGTTGCAGGTCATTTAAACGGCGGGAAACCCTTTTTCCCTCAAGAGACAAAAGGTCCCCCTTATGCCATGGCATTTCCCCATCTCCGCCTCCAAGGGAGACCCACGTGTTTCTTATTCCCGTTTTCAAAACGCCCCCCACTTTTGGTATCCCCTCTTCTACAAACCCCCCTCTGTGGTTACCTCTCCCTAATCCCCGTTTTTAAACCTTTTGCTGTCCTCGGGTCAGACTCCCACTTCAACGCCTCAGTCTAATCTCGCTTCTTCGATTCTCTCTCACAAGCCTCAGTATCGACGAGACCTCGACGACCCTCCTCCCCAAACGTCCCCCTTCTTCTCAAAAGTCAAAAAAAAGGTCCGGGAAAACCTCCCACCCTCTTCCACCTCCCCCATTTAAAAACCCCCTGCTCGTCCCGGGTTTTTCCCCTCTCACGGTCAGTTTTCAAGTGAGAGGGTTTCCCCCCCTCCTCGTAATGTCCTTCCTCCCCCTTTTCCCCCCAAGTTTCTTTTTTTTCTGCCACCCCCAGGTTCCTGCCTCTTTTGTCCCCTGCCACGCTTTTCCAGTTCCCTCCACCCCCTTTTTGCCCCCCCCCCCACCTTGGGACAGCCAATACAGTTCCAATTTACTCTCCCTCCCCTACCATTCCCAATTGTCTCCCATACGCATCTCTGAATTTCCAAACACTTGAAGCAACTCGAATATATTGCAGAGACCAAACCCATTTGGGCACGATCCACCTTCCCCCTCTTTCTCTCTCTTCTGCTCCATCTGCGCAAATCCCTTTCTTTACAGGACCGTTCCTTCCTGCTTTAACGTTTTCCCCTGCCTCCGCATGGGATTTTTTTAACCCTCTAGTCCGAGAAAACCCCACCTCGGTTTTTAGTATCTTTATCTTGCCAATCATGGCCCATTTTCGTGGAAATACGTGGCCTCAGGGGAAACGGGTGAGCTTTTAGATGTTACTCTCCCATTTTTTCCCCTGTTGGTGTTTGCTTCAGGAACCAAAAATTTCATTGCTGTTATTTCCACATCTCAGGGTAAGTTTTTTTTATTTTTCAGATCCTTTTCCTGATGGGACCTTTAAAAGAAAGTGCCCCTTCTCCCCACTGATATTCCGTCCACACTATTTTTTCATATTCCTGCTTTTCACAGCAGCCCGTATCCCCCTTACATGGTGGATTGCTCTGTTTTTATTCTCCTCCTTTTCGGGCAATCTATTTCCGGGTTTTGCTTTCCCTTTTTTTCGTCATTACCCCCCCGATTCTGTTACTTGGTGATTTTAATGCTCACCATTTTCCCCTGGGGGGGGGGGTCTCCGTGATTCCCGTGGAATTTTATTAGAGGCTTTTCTTGCCACCCACCCCCTCCTGTTTTAAATCAGGTATCACACCCATTTGATCCCGATCATCTCCTCTTTCATCGCTCTCAGTTCTCTTCCTCCGCCGCATTAAATTCACTTGGTCTGTTCTCCCCGGGCTTACATGACAGTGACATTTCCCAATCATTCTTTTTCCCCTTCTATTCGCCACCTCTTCCACCCCCCCTGGCAATTTAATCGGGCAAAATTGGAACCTTTACCACACCCAACTGTTTTTTAAAAAGGTTTCCCTTTTTCGTCCTCCATCGAGGCTTTTACACCTCTCTGTCCTCCGTTTTCCCCCCACAGCTTTTATTAAACCCCAAACTTCGGGCAGACATTTTCCCAAAAAGCGGCCTTGGTGGTCTCCTGCTTGTGCTCGTGCTACGTTTGAAACGCGCTGCATGGGGGGAGGCCGGGACAATGAACCACAGAGCGACTCCTTTATTTTTAAAAAGAAGCGTGCGATCGCTCGCCGTGTCATCCGTGAGCTAAAAGCACTTGCGGCGAGTTATGTCCCACCATCACCCTTTCTTCCTCTATGAGTGCATCTGGAAAAAAATACG